TTTGCTGCGATGTATCCATGTGCTGTCTTGTCTGAAAAACACAGAAAACATTCTGTGATTAAAATATTTTGCATTAAACACTCATTTTTTCTATTTTTTTAATATCTATTTGGAGTTTTTTTTCCCATCTCATTCCTCCTGAGAGCCTATACCTCCTGAGGTGAAGCTCATGTATTTCTGATTGTTCACAGTCTCTTTGGAGTCGTAGAACTTCAGCACATCCAGCACCGCCTGCGGGTTCTTCTTCTGCTCCAGCTTGGTGATGTTCGATGTTTGCAGCAGCCGCGCCCACTGCTCCGGGATTCCCTGGACAAACAGAGACGAGTGGTTCGTTTGACGAGGAAATGTAATTTGAGAGGTAATAATCCGGTTCGGCCTTGMGGAGCAAGTGTTCAGTTTCGCTTCTGGACGTACAGTAAAAGTTTCGGATGCGGCACGGTGACCGGTGAAGCTGAAAACGTCCCTTTTAATCCTTAACATCCTGTATTAAAATATCAGGTGGTATAACACGTTCAAAACTACATTTTCTGAGCTACTAGCCCTGACTTCCTTTTTTCACTCTCAAGACTAAAAATGTAAGAAAGGTTTCTGATATTTTAGATCATGTCTTACTCTTGTCACATACTGTATGAACAGTTAACAGTTTTCTTTCATGTCGCTACACATTTTACAATTAAATGCTGATAAAAGACAAAAAGAATCAGTGCCAGCAGGGAAAACAAGWATGATTGGATTGTGATCCAGGGACAGATTCTCTGTAATTTACTCAGTTCGCTCAGAAAACTGAGAAATAAGCTAAAGCAAAGTGCTGTTTTGAAAAAGTGGAACTWTGTTTGGTGCCAATATGTGGCTTTTACAAATGAACAAGGAACTATTTGCCACTGATGTCATTCACGGCACAGGCTGATCATTTGAAAGTCAAATTTCCCACAAGCACATAATCCTTCAGGTAAAGTTGCTTTTATATGAAGCTGAAAATGTAACTGGAATTTCATAAACCATAACAAAATAAATAAATGAAAATTAGAAATAATACAAAAGTATTGTCAGAGTTTTTGAGGTTAAATAGTTTTGCCCCACTGTTTCAACATAGGTTGTGTTTTATTTCTTTTTTTTTTTTTGGTCCTGATGCATCTCAGTAATCCAGGTAAAAAATCAAAAAGAAAAAAAGTTGTATAGGTCCTCTGGACGGGTTCTTCTCTAATGAAATGTTTCGTCTCTCCTCCAAGAGACTTCTTCAGTCTGAGMGTTTCAGGCAAAATTCAGGCTTTTAAGCCCTGCCTCCATGTGACTGATACTCACATCACATGGCTATCATTGATACCTAATTAACACCTATTGTTAACGGGGGGAAGTGATACTGGCAATAGCCGCACTGTAGGAGGGGGACAACTGAAAACGGAGGCCTCCACCTCTGTTTAATGATGGACGGTCTTTCTTCACAAAAATGGCTTAACGATAGCCATGTGATGTGAGTATCAGTCACATGGAGGCAGTGCTTAAAAGCCTGAATTTTGCCTAAAACTCTCAGACTGAAGAAGTCTCTTGGAGGAGAGACGAAACGTTTCATTAGAGAAGAACCCGTCCAGAAGACCTATACAATTTTTTTCTTTTTGTTTTTTTTATTTCTTTTTTTTATTTGCCTAATAATATCACGTCACTTACTACTAGATATATACATGAAGAGTAAAACCATTCTGCAAACACTATAAATTGGAAACCTGCAGTAAAACACTCCTACACTAGAGATGGGTGATTCTATTTGTTTTGTTATTAATCCGAGTAAATTCAGGACTAGTAAAAATGATTTCGACACCGATATTTGTTATGTTCATCGAATAATTATGTGATTTTGTCTTTAGTTACTTGATTATGATAAAACACAGGACAAAGATTTTAGGCAACAAAAATGTTTGAAATAATTCTCTTACTACTTTTTTACACAAAACTGTTTAAAAAAACTGCAAAATAAGAAAAAAAAATCAGCAACAATGTAACAAAAATCTAAATATAAAAATGTCAATAACACAACAACAAAAAAAAGTCCATTGCACACGGGCATGATGTAGAGGACTAATGACTAAAGTCAATGATACAAATAAAGTGTGAACAAAATAATCACATCACACTATTATCGAACTGATACTCATCTTGTGATCAATACTATCAATACTGAGATCAATACGCCCAMCCCTAACCTATWCTATAATAATTAAATACAATTTAGTCAGTAATGTTTTGAGTATTTCATAAAGCAGTTCTGTGAAGAGGTCACCTGCTGTAGACAGATCTGTGAATGRCTTCAGTTTGGAGAGTTTTTATTCTGACTGAATTCATGAGCTAACAGCCAGCTCATCCAACTAGTCAAATTAAACTCTTCAATCTCAGGTTGTTCAAAGAGCTATTGACAGTATWGACAGGAGGTAAAATAAGAATTATTCACAATCTTTCCACAGAGCTTTACTTTTAAAGACTTGAACTATTGCTTTAAAATACAACCCCGATTCCAGTGAAGTTGGGACATAACATAAAGCATAAATAAAAACATAAAACTGTGATTTGAAAATCATTTTCAACCAATATTGAGCTGAATACACCACAAAGACAAGATATTTAATGTTCAAATAAATAAACATTTGAATATAGGTAGAAAAGGATTTGCAAATAACCATTTTCTGTTTTTATTTATGTTTTACACAACTTCTTTGGAATTGGGGTTGTATAGAATAATGAATCATAACCATAAAGCTGATTAAAGAAGTTACAATGACGCTTACAATCAACTTAATATTCTTGGTAAAAATTTAAGTTAACATATAAGCAATGTGGAGAGAATACAACATTAGATTATTGCTGCAGAAGCTTATTTTAAAAATCTAATGCTACTTTCAGAAGGGAAGAGAATTTTAGGAGCTCATCAGTTCTGATGAATGTACCTGAATGTTAAATGAAAGGGATACTTACTGTGAATTCTCCCGTTACAGCATCAAAGCCAACATGAATGGTGTGTTCAAAGTCTGAGGGGAGGGATATCTCAGGACGTTCCTTCTCCTTCTTTTTGTTTGCTACAGGGGGACGTGGAAAATAAAGCATTAATGGGTCATTTCTGATGTTTTTAAATGACAGAAACAGGTGCAACTAGGCATCAGTGCGGTGGGTGGGGGGTACTGTGAGGGACGAGAAAGATACTCACTTTTGTCTCCCCCGGGGAAGATGGAACGCAGGCGGGCTTTCTTGTTTTTCTCTTCAGGAGCCATTGGAAGCGGTTTGGAGGCGTGATTCAGTGATGAAGAGTCTCGGGAACTACTGTTCATTCTCAAGGGCGGGGCCGGTGGTTTTTCTTCAATATCAACACTATCAGACATGTTTAGTAGCACTCACAAGGTCCTGAAGGGAAACAATAAGAGTCAAAAAAACAAAGTTTAGTGTAAATTAAGTACTGCATGTGTACTGAAAAGTGTCAAAGATGTAGCATCAGTGGACTAGATTAAGAGTTCACATATTTTGATGATGGGTTATGTAAAAAGCTTATAAATAATTAACATCTTACCTGTTGTATAGGACTTTTTGAGCAMATTTTGTTTGGAGAAATACAGTTTAATTCTGACTGAACTGAAAGTCAAAGCAAAGTGAATTACTGCCATTTTAAATCAACTCAAAAAATAAATAATAATAATAATAATAATAATAATAATAATAATAATCAATAATAATTCACTGCAGTTCATCTGAATGTTACTTTATAAACATTACACTGCCATCAATATCACATTATATAGTTAATTTCATTAATTTATTTAACTACATGTGCAAATAGCAGCAGCAGCTAGCGGTAGAACTACCAGTGCACACTGGCAGTGTATCATATGAAACTGATGGCAGTGTAAACATTCATAAATAAAATGCACGTGAACTGCTATTAAAGTTTTGAGATTAGAATTGATTTTTTAGATGGCAGTGATTAACTTTGTTCTCATCCTTGCCTGAATAAGTSTTGACTTTTCGTTTGGTCTGAATTAAACTGTTTCTCCAAACTAAGGTTGTTCACAGATCTATCTATAACAGGTAAGATAGCAACTGTTAAGAAGCTTTCTACATAACCACACCTCAAAAGGTCTAAACTATCATTTTTAACAGAAAAACTGATCTTGTGTTTATTTTTTTATAAATGTCAAAATCAGCTATAAGCAACTATTCCCTCCTTATCTACCATTTAATCCATGTTTTAAAAGGTTGCCTTGTTCATTTAAGTGAAGACGATGGGGTAATGAGATAAAGCTGAGATTTTTATGTTTGTAAAGTTAGAACAAACATTTTTCTATTGTCACATGATCCATCTGTACGTTTTTCCTCATGTAAAATAATAATTCTTGTTTCACTGGCTGCTGAACTGAAAGATTCTGAAAAATAAGCCAACATTTTTTTCTTTTACCACCATGTCACGCGAGTTGGGGGTGGAATCTGAAACTTTACTGGAGCACATATCCAGCGGATCTGCTCAGCTGTAAACCAGTAACCCGGACATGACTCTAAGAGAATCTGGCACGAGGAAACACTTCTATCACTCTCATCTTCCCAGCCCACTAYCATGTCAGACTCCTTCACTGCCTCGCCCCGAGACCAAGCCCATCATGTGATATGAAGCACAGCCAGTGCAGAAAGCGGGACATTTAGGCTRCCCCCTTTAGTGGAGACCTACATTAGCGAACAAAGACACTCTCCTCGGCTCTTAAACACCACCTCTGATAAAMCCGGCTTCACAGTGGCCTTCAGGACTTTAGAAAGCTATCTGCCTCACAAGACAAAAAACCGATAGCTGCATTTGATAGTTTGCAAATTCCCAAAAGAGCTGGTTTTGAATATARGAATGAAACTAGTGGAAAGACGTAACATGATACGAAGCCATAAAATCATCAGATATGTTTCCAACTGCAGCAACATTACACAAAACTTTTTTTCATCTCCTGAACTCCACTCTTAAAAAGACACCAGAAATGTGTCATTTCTTCATAAACCGGTTGAAGTGGAACAAAAGAACAAACACTGAAGCATTTCTTTCTTTTTCAGAACTATGACTCTGCTGTCTGATAAAACGTGGAAAAAACTGGACATTTATTTACCCCAACACCAGGGAAAGTTAGAGCCTTATTTCTTAACTGGGATGACTTTCTATTTTTTCAGGTTTACTTTGCTTGAATAATAAAATGAATGTGCATTAATGTCAAATCAGGCAAATCTGAATGCTATCTTCTTTTATGCAAGTCCAAAACATGTAATTTCAACAAGATTATTAGTCAAAAAGTATGTATCTATTTTTGTGTGTAAAGATGTTTTTTTAAGAATTGCAATACTCTTTTATTAGTGATGTGTAAAGGGCTATGCTGTGAAAATACTTTTTATTAATTACTGACAGCAATGATGAGGATGATGATGTACTTTATTTACAGACTCATGGTCCATAATACTTAAAAAACATTAAAAAACACACTACAAAACATTAACGGCACCAATGGTAGCATAAATCTATAATTAGGATGTAAATATTCCCAATAACTTCAGAGCTAATTTTAATACTTTGCTGAATCTAAACTGAAATTAAGACCAAAAAATAAATACTTTAAGTAAAAACAAAAAAGGTGGCAACAATGACAAGTAGAACATGATACAAATTAAAATAAGAAAAATCATTCTAGCAGCTTTTTAATTGAATCTCCAGGAAATCCTCTGAATCACCATTTCTCAAAACCAACTTGTGCAACAAGTGACTCACGCCGGACAGCTCGACAAACAAAAGTTACATTTTTTTATCTTAATTGGCTCCAAGAAATAACCTGAAAAAACAAACAGCTAATTTTATGGTTCAACTCTATTTTTACAGTTATCTGAGATCTAATGAGATATTCTGGGGGATGTTTTGTGTTGGTGGTTTCCAGCATGTTGGGTGATTTCCAAGATAAGAGCGGAAAACAGGTTCTTTCAGGTTGTTTGGGTGTGCCACAAAAAACTGCAAAACTCTGCTGTTTATAAAAGAATTTTCACAATGTCGACTCACGCAGCAAACAGAGAACAAAACCATCAAGACAATGAGGGAAGCATAAAGAGATGTTCTGTTTCCCATCACAATGAGCCCTGTTTAACATAAAACAAGTCACTTTTCTATGTGAATGGACAATAATAATAAAATACAGTAGTAAATGTATTATTTTTAGATACTACATAAYGTTAGTTTTACAAGTATTCTATAATATCCTGTTTAAATATGTAAATAAACTGTGACCTAGAATTCTGGGGTTTTAATTTACATAGATTTCCAGGTCAGATATCTGAACACCAGATGAAAATAGTTTCCAATTTCCTTTTACATTTTGTTGTTGAATATTTTTACACAGAATACATCCATTATTTCTGTTTTTATTTTCATGATTATTGTTTTTTTATTGGTTGATTTTAGCTGATTTCCTTTTCTTATTTTTATGACCAGTTAAAATTAAGGTTTAATATTAATTTACCTTAAATTAATACCAAAACAGCAACTCCCTCTATATGTGGATTAGTACTTGTTCTTACTTGCCCTACAGCTGACTGAAGGCTCACTATAAATGCAATTGTAAAGTTTTCCATATTTTCAGCATGTTATTTTATAAAATGAACTTTTCTTATCCAAAAAGTTTGATATAAACAAGTTTTTCCTGTCAACTTTGTTTTTTAGTTAGTAAAATATTCTACTTCCTTTGGGATCAATCGGTGTTGTGCTAAAAAAAGCACACACCCCATGATAGTTACCCCTCTGCACCCCACTGACAAAAGAGCAGCGTCAACTGTACAACACTTTGCTGCCCACAGATTTGCCTGACTGTTAATTGGCTTCGTGTGCTCACATGTGGCTAACACAGCTGATTAAAAGAAATGTCAAAAACAGCCTAATTACTGAGGCAGCTGATCAATCTGTGTCTATCTGATAGATATATTCAAAAGAATGCAAAGGGAAAGGCAAAAAAAGGCAATCACAGACAAATTTGTTAAGAAATTATAGTTGTGACTGAAGCAACAAATACAGACTTTCTACATGTTTTTGTTTTCTGATTGTGCCTTTTTTTAAAAAAAACTTCATGGCAAAATAATATACATACAAGAATGAATGATAGCTAATACATTTTGGTCATTTTGACATTAGCAGCTGAGTAACAAAAAATGATGAAGTAAATCCTCATCTATACAACAAGTTTTAACTGGTGTATGACTGTTTTGCTAAACACCTGCCCGCTGGCTGCTGACGACGCTGTTTTGGGGTCCAATGGCTAAAACCAGCAGATATGTGAAGACCCAGACATTACTGATTCTTTACCCATGTAAAAACACTGACCTATTTAAGGTGCAGACTGACAGAGAGGCGAGCACTCAGTGAGCACTCTGTCCCAAAAACAAGCAGCTTCTCTTTCTGAACCACACATAGGCCGGTCTGTGAATATTACACATCAAATGTGCTCCTTGTGCACCAAAAAGCAGTCATTCTTTAGAGACTAGTTTAACTTTTACGGCATCAACGGCATAAAACAGCATTTACAGCTCACTTTACACTATTACGTTTTACAATATGGTACTTTTTTTTTAAATGACACCTCCTAAGAACAATTTGGCATACTTTGGAAAAGTCTGAGGTTCTGACTTCGTTACAGGAAAGTGTCAAAAAATGTAAAAAAAAAACCCACCACAGACATCACTGTGAATGTTTTCACGTTTCTCTTCCATAAAATATTAAAGTATTCACGAGGAGCAGGCATTTTCTCTGCTCTTTCAAACATTAATGCTGATTTTGAATGGTTAAAACCAGAAGAGGCTCTAATCTTGAACCCCTGGCAGCCCAGTAATGGCCCCTGCAGCGAGGGGGGAGGGCTCCACCAGCTTGCCTCTGATTAGGACACACACTCTGTTTGGCTTGGCTTTAGCTTTGGCCGTGCTTCTTTGAAGGAAGCTGATAACTTGGATAGGACGGACAGTTCGTGGACATCCAAAGCATAAGGAAGGAGGGATACTCCGCTGCTGCAATTTTTAATGCTATCTTCTTTTTAATCTTAATAATATTCGAACAACTCTCTATGGTCACTGCTGATATTTTAATAAACACTGAGTTAGAAAAAAAATGAGTTTACCTACAGCAAACACACTCAAATTCAAAGCAAATCTAAAAGAACAAACAGAGAATAAAACCAAACGAGTCTGAACAGACATCAACACGGTGCTCTCATGTTTGGCCTCTCAAGGTCAGAATAAAACCCCCAGAGTTACACAATTTAATTTTAAATACAGGCTGTGGTAGGAGGAGTCTGCAGCTCAATTCTATCAAAGGGAGGGGCGTCCTTTTTAAAGACAAAAGACAAAAGTTTGTA